TTCATGTATATTCAAATATTTTGATAATTTACAAATTCTGATGGGGGGAAGGATTAAAACATCCCTGCAGCGACAGGGTACTTGACATCCACATGTTACAGTATTAAGAAACTTATGCTGAAAATATTTAATTGTTAAAATTGAGCAAACATTTTTTTCAAAGTGAGAAAAATACAGACTGTGACCAACCTAAATAATAACTTTTTAATTTTCAAATGTTAGTATTGAAGGTGTTAGTAAAATAATGAAGTTTGATTACAACTGCAGAAGTGAAGTATGGTCGATATATAATTTAAAAAAAATTACTTTCAGATACTAAACCTTGGAGTCAGATATTTCTGCTTGCTTGCTTTTGGCTAGTCGTTTTTAAAATTTGGCCTCACTGGTGATAATATACACAGAGTGGCATGAAATACCAAGTAAATTGCAAATGCATTTTTTGTCTTCTAGTTTCAAAGTTATCAGAAGTGATTTTTTTTTTAAAGTTGGCAGTGTCCCTTTAACATGTATTTTAAAAGAGAGTAGCCGGAAGTTGAAATTTTTGGGTACCATATGCAGCACCACTAACTTTTTCTCTTTATGAACAAGTTTCTCATAAACCTCTGTGTGGGTCGGTTTCCTCATTTGTAAAAAGTGCGTGATGCTGACCGACCTAAGGGGTTGTTTTGAGGCTCACGTAGTATTCAGAATATATCCTCTTACATGTTGAAATAGCTTACTCTCTCTTGTGTTGCTTCTGACTGATCTGCATGCGATCCAGAGATAAAACAAAGAGTTGGTTTCCTATCCAGGGTCACTCAAGGGGAGCGGATGCTAAATGAGATTCCTACAATGTCTGATGTGACTATGAAATAAAAATGGGGAGGAGGATTGTGCTATTTCATTACTGGCCTACCTGGCAGTTCTCTCTTAAGCCTCAGAACAGGTGTGGGCAGGGTCAGTGCAGGCTTGTGCCTCAGCTGCGGGGTGGGCAGGGATCTCTTGCTTTCTCAGCCTGTTCCTCCACCTTTTTAATGCAGCGGGGGAGGGGCGGGCGCTGCCCCCGGCCAGCAGGGCCTGG